AACCCATGCTGAAGGCTGTGGTCTTTGATCTTCATCAGTAAGTATTTAAGTCTTCTTAGCTTTTAGCAAGCAAGGTTCTATGTATCATCTGTATATTACAGATTGTTCATGAATCTTCCTTCAATCCTGATGCCACGTTGTTCTTCATATAAACTAACTTCTCAAATTATTTGCTCAGCATATAGATTGACTAAGTTTGGTGAAAGAATTCAACCCAGTGCACCCCTTTCCTAAATGTAAGCCATTCAGTGTTCCCTTGTTCTGTTTGAACAACTGCTTCTTGGTTTATGCACAGATTCCTCATGAGCACAATTAAGTGTTCCAGAATATTTATTCTCCACAATGTTGTCCATAGCTTGTCTTGATCCACACAATTGAAAGCCTCTGCATATTCAATAAAGTACAGGTAAACATTTTTCTCTTATTTCTCCATTCAGCCAAGATCCACCTGATGTCAGCAGCATATCCCTCATTCTATGTCCCTGTCTGAATCTGGCTTGAAACTCTGGCTGCTGCTTGTCAATATACTTTTGCAGCCATTTTTGAATTATCTTTAGCAAAAATTTACTTGCATATAATATTAATATTTTCCAGTGATATCTGCACTCCATTGGTTCACCTCTCCTTGGAATGGTCACAAAAAGGGATCTCTGCCAATCAGTTGACCAGGTGGCTGTCTTCCAAATTTCTTGGCATAGATGAGGGCCTTAAGTGCCACATCAGTTTGTCGAAAGATTTCATTTGTATTCCATCAATTCTCAGAGCCTTGTTCTTTGCCAATGCCTTCAGTACACCTTGGACTTCTTCCTTCAAAATCACTGGCTCTTAATCATACGCTACCTCTTGAAATGTTTGAACATAGACTATTTCTTTTTAGTACAGTAACTCTGTGTATTCTTTCCATCTTTCATTTGATTCTTTCTGCATCATTCAATATTTTGCCCAAAGAATCCTTCAGTTTTTCTAGTTGAGGCTTGAATTTTCTCTTCAATTCCCTCAAGCTGAAGAATGCTGAGCACATTTTTCCCTTTTGGTTTTCCAGCTCCAGGTCTGTGCACATTTCTTTATATTTGACTTGTCTTCTTGAGCTGCCCTTTGAAATTTTCTATTTAGCTCTTTTTACATCCTCATTTCTTCCATTTGCTTTAGAATCTCTATGCTGAAGAGCAAGCTTCAGAGTTTCTTCTGACATCTGTTTTGGTCGTTTCCTTCTCTCTTGTCTTCTTAATGACCGCTTGCTTTCTTCCTGTATGATGTTCTTGATGTCATACCACAGCTTTTCTGGTCTTTAGTCTTTAATGTCTAATGCATGAAATCTGTTCTTTAGATGATCTCTAAATTCAGGTGGGATATATTCAAGGCCATATTTAGGCTCTCATGTACTTGTTTTAATTTTCTTCAACTTCAGCCTGAATTGGTATATGATGGTCTGTTCCACAGTCTGGCCTGGGTCTTGTTCTGACAGTCTGGCCTGGGTCTTGTTCTGACAGATGGTATGAAGTTTTTCCACATCTCTTCCCACAGATGTAGTCAATTTGATTTCCATGTATTCCTTCTGGTGAATTGTATAATCGTCCTTCATGTTATTTACAAAACGTATTTGCAATGACCAGTCATTGGTTTTGCAAAGTTCTGTCATGCTATCTCCAGCTTCATTTCTATCATCAAGGCTGTATTTTACAATGACTGATCATTCCTATTTGTTTCCAACCTTTGCATCCAAGCATGCAATGAAGATATCTTGATTGCATGTTTGGTCAATTTCAGACTGAAAAAGTTGGTAGAATTCTTCAATTTCATCATCACTGGCTTTAGTGGTTGGTGCATAAACTTGAATAATAGTTGTATTAACTGGTCTTCCTTGTAGACGTATGCATTTTATCCTATCACAGAGAATGTTATACTTCAAGATAGATCTTGAAATATTCTTTTTGATGATGAATGCAATGCCATTCCTCTTCAATTTTTCAACCTGGCATAGTAAACCATGTGGTGTCAGATTCAAAATGT